GTCCCCTGATTTTTTTCAGGTCTGATTTTTGCTATTGCATAAATAGCGCTATCTACTGCGAGGATCGTGCATCATAAGTACTGGTAGTGTAAGTGGTAAGAATGATTTGATTGCATTTCTTTTGCAGGGAGATCCAGGTGTTCAAGGGTTACCAGGACCTGACGGTCCTGCTGGAGCACCAGTAAGTCCACATGCTTAATAGTTATAATTTATTTTGATTTGGCTAGCCTCTCCTGATTAGTATATAGTGGTAAATGTGGACTACCTTTGTTATCAGATTTATCCATTTGATTATGCTTGATTTTGATCCTTTCTTCAGAACAAAATATGTACAAAACTTTTCACAGGAAAAGCTCAGTAAAGTGACCAAATGAACTAACATCACAGTTGGTCTGTTTAAAAAAAAACTAGGAAATAAAATCCCATTAATTGAAATATGTCAGTTTTGAATGACATGCTTGTATATTGAGTCTACAGTTTTACTCGCACTTGTAATAAAACAGAAAGAACAGCCATTTAGTCTAGAACATAATATTTATTACATTTTTAGGGAGTAATAGGAGTAAATGGACCACCAGGACCTCAGGGTGCAGCAGTGAGTACTTTGTTAGCAAATTTGTGTCATATTACCCTAAGCTTATTTTATCCCTTTATACCCTAACTTCAGTAGGCATATTCTACTTACTTCTCTCCATACATTTCCTATGGTACATACAAGGAGAATTTGTTTCAATCAAGAGCATCTCAAGCTGGTGATCAGTTGCTTTATTCTCATGACATTAAAGGTTGATTCAGAGGTGACACTGGTGGGAGAAATTAGATGCTGATCACTCTTAGAGGTCAATTGTTTAACAAAGTTAAATATTGATTGTAGCTTTGTTCACGTGGTGTCAGCATATTATTTTTGTTGACGGTGTTTTTGCTGTTTATGATTCTTTCCATTATTGCTGGCAGTTAAACAGTAAATCTTGAACATTGGCAGTTCTAGTTACTTTGCATTTAGTTTAGACTTGAAATGTTAATTATTAAATATTAAGTAATGTGAGTAGTACTTAGATGAAATCTTAAATGTGTGGATCATTATTCATACAGGGACCCCAAGGTGTGGCAGGCTCAGCAGGTGCACCAGGATCTGCTGGTCAGAAAGGTTCAACAGGAGACCCAGGTGTAGAGGGAGAGCGTGGCAAATCGGTCAGTAGTACTGTCCTCATGCTTATTTTCTCATGTGCTGGTTGAAAAACCTCCCACTAATTCATGCCTACTTACCAATTTGTCCTGCAAAACAAAAAAAATTCAGAAGAATGGATATAAGCAAAAAAAGCCCTTGCGTAGGATCTGGGAGGTAATCACAGCAAACACACTTGCATTAGCCTAGAAATTAAATTATTTGGGTTTACTCAAGAAATATTTAGTATGATTATCTTTGGAAATTTTTTCACTTCTCTGAAAATGACCAGGTACTCTGGTATTCTGAGGATGAAAATCTCCTGTGTTGATTGATTGACCCCACAAATTGGCAGGCTTATTCATATTGCAGTTATAGACAGTGCAGATATAAGATACTGTTATTCAATGGTAAATGTTGGCAAATCCATTGTTTTTAATTATTTAGGGTTTACCAGGTCAAAGAGGTCAACAGGGTCCTCCTGGTGACCCAGGAGATAATGTAAGTGATGCTTTTTTTGTGAAATGGGATTCAATCTTATTTAAGCCACAACAAGTCAGACTCGAAGCAAAGTGATATGTATAGCCATAAATTCACCTTACTGTCATTTTCATTACTTTAATTAGCTGTTTGTTTTCCTCTAATCAACCTCTTGTCATTACTGGTCAAGGCCATGCTCTAAGGAAAATTGTATGGAGCCCAGTGCTGTGAAACTGTGAAATCCAGGGTGCCCAGCATATGCTTTTTATGAAAAACCTAAATTTCTGAGTTGCTCAAGAGCAAAAGTAGGATGCCAGGGGCCACTGGGCACTGCTAGACCACAGCCAAGCTGGCAGTCAGTCACCACGCACACCATATACAATGCACTCGTACAAATAATGAAAAAATAGAAACAGTTTGACAATGTATGACATTAATAGCTGTTATATTTATACTTGTTATAAATTTAAATTTGTAAATTATTTACATCTGAACTATTTCTCAGACACAAGGGCTTGCATGGTCTTAAAAATTGTTGCATATCTAAAACAGTTCTCTATATATTTGTTATTTATAGCAGCTTTTGTCAACTAACAAATCCGTTCCTCCCAGGGTTCTAATGGTGTAGATGGCGCTGAAGGACAGAAAGGAGAACAGGTGATTTGCATTTTAGATTAGTTAAGCGCACCACACAAATTTCTTCACTTTCACTTCTAGCAATTTCCTAGTCAAGTTGATCCAATGGGAATTTTTCATTGTTCTCTTTTGAGTTTGAGGTTTCAAGTATTTTCTTTAAGTCATTTTTGAACATGGTTGGTTAGCTCATGTTGTAGAGTTTTGAACTGCAGTGTAATAGGTCAAGGTTGCAAGCCCCAGACTGCACCAGCACTCAGGGTCTTAAAATAACTGAGGAGAATATGCTGCCTTTGCTATGATGTTTGCAAAGGGTTGGACATTCTAGTCTTCTTGGATTAGGATGATAAACCATAGACCTTAATAAAATAAAAGACATATCATTTTGGAAATTGGTCTTTGTGTTATCTTATCTCAGGGTGATACTGGACCAACTGGACCTCAAGGCTTACCTGGACCCCCAGGAAAACCGGTATAGTATGCTTTTTTAGAAATTGTTATCATTTTTCTCCTACAACTGGTGCAGATCCTCTTCTAGGATCTTTGTTTAGCTATCTACACAACACTTATTTATTTATACAAACCTTAAGAGACTGAATGAATGCACAATGTTAAGAGTAAGGCAAAAATACTAGTCTAGTTTTTCATCAGATTCTACAGCAATACATAACTAATTAAAAATATTTACAATAATGAACTAACAGCCTGATTTCTATGTGTTCTATGCATCAGACTTGTCAAGACAAAGATTAATTCAAGGTTCATGTTTTTTCACCACCATACATTGGGCAAAAATATAGTTTCAAGGTATGAAACAGGTGGCGAGGAGACCTCTAGAAATCCTGCCACTTAACTCTTTACATCCCAACACCAGTATTCATATTCTCTGTACTGTTCTCCATTCATTTCCTATTCATAAGGAGCTGACAATGAGAATTTATTTAACATTCAAGAGCTTTTTCAGTTGGTGATCAGGGTATCTATTCTCATGATCTTTAAGGGAAACTGAAGCCTAAAATTATTGGTTTTTTTGTATTTGTTTCTAGTGAGCTTTAGAGGGGTGAGATAAAGTCTTGGTTGGTAATTTTGTACACTTCCATTTGAATTTGCTTTTTTCCCGTTCTTGCAGCTCTAAGACTATATACTCAAAAATGATAAGCAGCAGTCGAATATGACATCAGTGGTGGGGAACTAATTCGAGAAGGCCTCATATCACATTTCACTCTTGAATTTGATTCCCAGAACAAGCCACCCAACTTCAATAATACCATAAACATACCAAAGTTCTGAAGAAAGAGTGCAGGATTATTATTTTTCTTCCCCACTGGTGACATAATACTGAGCTAAAATAACTACTAACGTAGCTTTCCTGAGCCGCCATATTACGAGGTCAAAATATCACATAAAACTGTTTTTCGAGGTCTACATCGGGCCTAACTGACTAAAAAAAATGTTTGAACATTGATATTTGAGCTATCAGTTACATTTTAACAATGATTCAATTTTAGGCGTCAGTTCTCCTTCAATGTCACTAAGGAGGAATTAGATGCCAGGCTCTCTTATGGTTTAACGGGTCAAAGTTACATGGAAAATTGATCCAGAATATTGCCAGGTTATTTTCCAAGGGTAGTTAGCTCAGGAATATAAGGAAGGGGAACTAGTCTGTTGATAGTATCCCTTCACGAACAGCAAGCTCTCTTTTGTTTAACAAATTTAGATGACAAGTAGTCAGTGACGAGACCAGTCAATGGTGGTATAGCTGTGTAATAACTGACTTGTATTGGATTTGTTGCTGATTTCTTGATAATTTATTTAGGGTAATCCAGGTGAAGATGGAACTCCAGGTTCCCCAGGTTCACAGGTGAGTCGTATGTCTTCCAACAGTTTCAACTTATGGATACTGGCCTGTCAGATTAAGTGACAAGCAGCCTGTGGAAATCAGGTCCTTATTTCAATATAAGTAAAATTTGTAACCTGTTTGATCTGAAATATCAGCTAGCAATAAATCAAAACATTTGTCAATTATTTCAAGAAAGTAATAAAACATGTAAAAGCCACATTAGTAAACAAAGGCTCCTCCTGATTTGAACATTTCTGCCAATCATGGCCTTGATTACCTTTATGGCTGAAAGAAATCATTTAATTAAGAGTGGAGGTAAGGTGCATTGATATATTCAGGTCCACCTTATTTTAAGCACGGCAGGTACAACAAATTTTCGATCCACAAGAACATTTCTTTACCTGTTGAATTTTCAAAAATTCCAAACAATATAATGTGATAATAAGAGTTAAAATGCAGTGCCTTAGCCGGGGTTGCAAGGAGTGCATATACACCCCCCTTATAGTCACTGTACTAAATACTGGGGATTCAAAAGACATATAACAAAAAATGGTAAAAGGAAAATAACTGGCTTTTTTTACTGGGTAGTTTGAAATAAAACCTAATTAGATGAACCAGTTTTCATTTCATACTCAGCTAAGTGATCCCCTGCTATGTGATACTATTAATTAAAAGTATAAAACTGTTGGAAGACTATGCTACTTTCTCCACATGAGAAAAGGCCTTGAGTCTTTTTTCTGAGATTGACCTAGTACCATGAAGTTCCAAACCCCCATTTTAGCCAAAACACTACTTGGAGTGGCAACACTGTGACTGAATGAAACATATTAGGTGTTTTATATGATATTTGACATTTATTTTTTTCATTAAATTTAATCCTGTTGATAGTAATACTTAGTCTAGTTAAGAGCATATTTAGATTGCATCTCCTGATACAAATGAACTACTACTATCATGAATTGTAAATATAAGAGCTAAAATCCCCCTTGTGAAATTGAATTTGAAAAACCTTTGGGTATGGTATTCTAATGTACCTCTTAGTGCATCCACATTAATTGTAGATTAGTGATATATTACATGCACTCACCAGGGTGAGGGTGGACCCCCAGGACCTCCAGGACTTGCTGGTCAGAGTGGCTCAAGGGTATGTTCAGTGTAAAAAATAAAATAATTGATATTAAGGTAATTTGAATTCAACTTGTTTCATTTAGTGTGGGACAGACATGCATAAAGTCCACATAATTGTGTGAGTTGTTTACTGGCCATGTCTCAGTCCTTAGTTACCCTATTGTAACAAATTTTCTTGAGGCTAACCCACCACTGTGGCCCAGGTTCAATTCTTGGACCTGGCAACATGGGTTGAGTTTGATGTTGGTTCTTGTCCCTTCTCCAAGGTTTTTTGTCTGGGTCCAGAGATCTTCCTCTCTCCACAAACACCAACATTTCAAATTCCAATTTGACATGGAAACAATGGACAAGAACAGCCAGCTACTGGAATGTCCATCACTAAGTTCCCATTCCAATTTCCATTTAATCCCATTGCCATTATGAATTTTACATTTTAATTTGCAATGCATATTTATATATTTCTTTTAATTTCTAAGGGAGACCAAGGTCCCCCTGGTCCATTTGGGCCAAGAGGTCCACAAGGACGACAGGTGAGTGATGTCATCATGAGCTCATTTCACATTGTTCATGAACTTCAAGAGAATGTTATTTTTACTAGCCAACACATTGATCTGAAAGATTCTTTCTATATAAAAAAATTAAGATAACAAATCAAAAACACTATCTGGAAGATCTGGTTGTGGAAACTTCAGATAATGCAATTGAAATGAACAAAGAGTAAGAGAAGATGATCTAATCCTTGCTTGATAACCTGACAATGAAATGGTTTAGATTCAGGTTTGAGGATCAAGAAAATCTCTGGGAAAAAGTTCTGAGGTGTATTTTATCATGATATTGGCAAAACTTCATGCAGGCTAATCATTTGTAACATTTTTATGCAGCAGTTTATACATTATATGATGTGGACATCTTCTTGCCCAGTTTCACTACATTCATGCAAATAATCAGCATGCTCAGTGGGAATATGAATCACACTGTCTTGCCCATTGAATGTGACCTAGAACGTTCCAATTAAATTTACAAAATATTCCAATATTTTGCTTTAGGGAAAGCGAGGCAAGTCAGGACAGATGGGATCCCCTGGAGAACAGGGTGCCCCGGTAAGAAAGACGCTCGAAATGTTTGTGTGAATTAAACTGTGTGGGAGATCACTCTCTAACTTAGTAATTCCAGCTCAGCAATTTTGAATCACTAGAAATTTTTCACTGAATGCTTTGAAGGTTGACTGTAGTTTCAAGAGTCAAAATACAATACAGAGTGTTGTGTACGACATTCATTTGTGGAATTATACACATATTTACCTGTGCATACTCACATTATCTTGAATATATATTATTAGGGACAGCGTGGACCACCAGGCTCTATGGGCCCGGCTGGATTGCCTGGAGCAGATGTAAGTAATGCTGCAAATGTGAAAGCAATTATTTTTAAATGATTTAAGATGAAGTCAGTTTTTACTCCTCCTGGATGGGATGCCGGCCAATCGCACTGTTAACGAGATGTACCCATATCTTGATGGGTTTCATTGCCTAAGAATTTTTTGGTACCCAATAACCCCTTGTACCCTAACATCACTATCCATATTCTCCAGACCCTTATTGTTGATAGATTTCCTTTGGTACTGCATATGACAAGGAGAATTTGTCTAATAATCAGAACCTTTGTAAATCTGATTCAAGAGTGAGACTGTAAGGAAATTAAGAGGCCAGTGACTCTTAGGGATGCAAGAGTCAAATTAGTACTCTCAGGTGGGATGGATAAATTTTCTGGTTGAAGAACAAAACACAGTGAGCTAGCCAGGCTTTGAAGCAGGGTTTCTCACGGCTATTACAAAGAAAATTGAGGAAAATACAAAACAAGAACAAACATTTAATTTACACCTATTTCAAAAAGAAGGTTAACTGTATACCGTGGAATCCTGATTTCTCAAACCCTTGGTTCCTCGAACCTCTCAATATCTCGAACCAAAACTTGTTTCGCTTGGATTTGTTTCACTTGTAATTTCACCCCCGATTTCTCTAACTCCCGATTTCTTGAACCAATTTGCATTTCCCCTGGAGGTTTGAGTAATCAGGATTCCACTGTATTTAAAATATGACTGTGGTTTTGGTTTGTGGCTGGTTTGAAATTTATTCAACAGCACCAATTTGCATCTAGCACAGGAAGTGAAACATTTCTTTGTTTTGGGTACCTAGTCACTTGTCAGGGTAAAATGATTTGTAATGAATTGTTTGGCAAATCTTGATTTTGCTAGGGAAGCGTAGGAGAACCAGGTAATCCTGGTAAAAATGGACAAAAAGGAGAACGGGTAAAGTATTATGATTCAATTTCTTCAGTTTGAAGATAAAATTACATCAATTGACTATTGTTTTGACCCAATTTTTTTGTTTATTTTTGTGTGTGAATTTAACTCTTTTTTTGTGTTATCTTTTCTTTACCTACAGGGACCTGATGGTATTTCTGGAGAAGATGGTCAAGCTGGTCCAAGAGTGGGTGTCCAGTGATACTTTGTTTATTGAGTTGAATTAATATCAATGGCACTTGTTACCAGTATCTAAGTTTTCTTCCCTCAAAAGTTTCAACCCTCATCCAAGCCCAAATTAATAGTTTTTTTATTTGCTTTCTGCAACTTCATTGATAGATTACCCTAAAGATTGAAGAATGAATAATAGCCTGAAAATGGGTTTTGGCTATTTACATGTGAAGATCTAGTTTTTGGTAGCTTTTGAGTCAAGTGACTCTGATCTTGCTAGACTCTCTCCAGCTGGTTTTTGTAGCAAGAAGTGATTGAGAGTATTAAAATTCTTCCCTGGACGAAAAACCAATCCAGTTTAACCCCCAACATCTGTGTATAGTGGAACTCGCAACTTTCTTTTCTTTTGTTGTACTTTTACTTTATGAAGAATTGGATGGCTGCAATTTATTGAAAAACATTTTGTTTGTATCCAGGGAGCTCCAGGGGCACCAGGTGAACCAGGAAATGATGGAAGAGATGGCGAAAAGGTTAGAAAAATAGTGCCTTAACTTGTGACTTGTACTATCTTTCACGTCTTATTCAGTTAGGAAAAAAAAGCTTGCTGCTACTTAAAAATTAATTATTGTAGGGTTAAACCTACATCACAATAAAGGATTTTGTTTTTTAATTATGCCCCAGGGGCAAGCTCCAAGGGCAGAGCTCCTTGTTGTATTCTGATAATTTCATGGTTACTCTGACCTTACAATTCACCCCAGGGAGCAGAAGTTTATATTCTGGAACATTATCTTGGGGCAGATTAAGTAAAATTGAAAACAACTCCTTGTGTTCACTATAATATGAAACTTCAGATGCAAAACCCCTCTTAATTGTACACATGTACAATTGGTAATACCTGTTCATTTGTGATAATATATCGCTAGGCTAAGAAACCTTGGTATTTAAACCTCCATAGGGTGCAAGAGGAAAAGATGGCGAACCAGGCAAATCAGGACCACCGGTTAGTGTTAAAATACAGAATTGTGGGAAAAGAATAGAGTCTTTGAAGAAGATCTGCTAATGAAAGTTGGTCACTCCAGGACCAAGTATATTGCTAGTAATCATTTGGTGTATTAATGTTATTAATTATTAATAATAATTTAGTATTTATATTGCACAAATTAACATGTGGATATGATCAAATGCGCATTGCAACACTTTTTGGGGGATTTTGGCCAGACTGCATCAGCAATNGGGATGGGTGGGTTTACTGGGCCCGCAGTAGTTGGTGCAAGCTGTTGCGGTGTCCCTGCCGGTCGGCGAAGCTATTAAATTAAATTAAATTATTTGACGTCTCCTGCCTAACCAAATTAACTGATTAATAGAAGCAGGAGAAGGGACGGTTTATTCATCCTTATCCAAGAAGACTTGAATGTCTATCCATTTCTTGATATTATAGAAAGGTAGTGTATTCTCCTCAGTTATTTTAAGACCTTGAGTGTTGGTCTGGCTGGGGCTCGAACCATCGACTTCAACCTCCCGCACAACAGTCCAGCGCTCTAACCAATTGAGCTAACCGCTAATACAGAACACCCTTTAAAGTGACTGGAAATAATTTTCACTTTTGAGTATGTGCTTCTTGTATGGACTTTAACCCGTCAATCAGCAGTCCTGGGGTCTGTGGGGTAGGGTTGTTGTCTCTCCTTGAACTTTGTAGTTTTTTAAAGAGGTGTGTTAGACCAAGTGAAATTTTTTTGATGTATCAGTTAGGTTACAACAGTTTGTAATTTTAATATCAATGTGAATGCTAAATATTGGGACTGATTGATGATTATCATTCTAACAGGGACCTCAAGGACCAAATGGTGGCATGGGAATTGCTGGCCAAAAAGGAGAACAGGTGAGTACATGGATGTGAGGGTACTTTGTAATAATTCCTGATTACAAACATAGGAAGGGAAGGACACCTCACAAAAACTACCCTGAATCAATTCAATACTGTTAGTGTGAGCATTTATTTAAGAGGAATCCCTGCTCATCTTATGTCTAAGAACTTTACAGTTCTGAAGTGTCAAGAAAATGTTAAAAAGGGGAACTATTGATTTAAAAAAAAAGGCATTTTTTGCATCTATCAATTTGAAGCCTTAATATCCCCCAACCCCTTCCAGGAAAACCCCTGACATTAGAATTTTTTAGTGCCAGATTTGATGGCCAATTTTTTTGTAAAAGGCAAGATTAGCAAAGGTGACTTTTCAGTGGACCTTTTCTAAGCCATGTGCTTGCACAAGTGAACTTTTTAACTTTAAACACCTCCATATTAAAAGATATAACACTTATTCAGCTAGAAACACTTGATAATTCTGGTTCAAATTCCCCATGCCACCAAGGCAGTGTTTAAATTCCCCACCCAATCAGTGAAAACCCTTACAGGTTCCCAGCTGGAGTTAAGGCAAGAAATGCCCAGTTAGTTACTGCCTATAGTCAATGATTCTAAATTGATAAGTCTGTTATGAATTTTTTATATTTTTAGGGTGCACCAGGCAAGGCTGGAGCAACTGGTCCCACTGGCTCACGTGGCCCTTCAGTATGGTGTTTTTTCTTGTTATTTTTCAAATGTGCTTATAAACTGACAAAATACCATATAACATGTAAACTTTACAGCCTTTTTAGTGTATGGAGATTATCTACATTTCTGCCAAAAAAAGAAAGTCCTCAAAGATTAAAATTTTGCAAACAATAACCACTGTCTGTCCCTTTGTCTGTTACTCCCTAGATCTGATCAGATATGTATTCTACCTTTGACCGGCTATACTTATCCTACCCCATGGCTGTTTGTTTTGGTAATTTGCATGGAGAATTTACTCATTAAAAACGCGTATGGGGGTGAATGTGAAGTATTCAGTGTGTGCTGTGACTTGACAAAAAATTTGAAAATGTCATTTTTCTGTCCTATTTCATCTTCTGCATGCCTTTCTTTAACAGAAAAATGCAAAATTCATTTCGCTCTTTACAGGAAAAGATCTAAGCCAGCCTTAAGTGAAAAATTCTATCACATCCATCCACATTCCATAGCACCTTTTTCAGTGAAACACCTTCCAACTCTACATGTTCCCCCTTTTCAGTAAAGGAAAAATGTGTTGATGTTGACCTTGTCTGTTTGACTGTTGAGTATTCCCATAAAATATAGATGCCATTTCATAAGTGACCTTATTCTCTGATAATTGTACCTGTTTTGTCTTTTGCCAAAGGGTGCTCCTGGTGAATTTGGTGAAAGAGGAGAGCAGGGAACCCCAGGAGCTGATGTGAGTGCTACAGATGATCAAATTAGAAATACTGGAGATTATTTTTTTATGATGTCAACAAAGGGTTAATGCTGTTTATTATAACAAGATTTGAGTAATTAAGACTGCAGAAAAAATTCTGAGCTTCCCAGTAAGAAAGTAAATCTAACAATTTCTAGTGTGTTTGGCTTTCCTGACTCACCTTGGTTAATAATTCATCTTCCTGGATTTCTTGGGGCTAATTGGAATGTTGCTTTCTAGAGCTAATGTTTAACATGTTAAGTTACCAGAAACAATAGGAAAAATACGCTATTTTTTTTTACAGGGATCACCAGGTTTAAGAGGTTTCCCTGGCCAAAGTGGTTCACGAGGTCTTACTGTAAGTAGATTTGTTTTTCTTGTTGTCATCTATTGTTTGCTACAGGGTATTTACTATCATGATTGTAATATTTGAATGTAGACTCATTATGTTGAGTATGTACTGTGTGGTATATTCTGAACTAACTTGTAACTAATGAAGCTCATGGGCTGTTATTGTTTACAGGGAGCTCAAGGTGAACCCGGGCCAGCTGGACCACCAGGCCCTGATGGAAAGAAGGTAATGCTAAATTTATCATGCTAAACAACAGCCAAACAGTAATTTCCTACTGAAATCCAATTTCTAGTTCTTAAAACAGCTGAACAGTAGTCTCTTCTAAAATCTAAAATCAACTGAACAGTTATGTCCACTGAAGTTCTGTCGAGTCATGGTTCATTATACAATGGTACCATGAGTAAATCAAAAAGCCTCTCATTGCACACTTAGATAAACAAGCTGTTGAAAATTTATGTATTTTGTCTTTTGTCAGGGACCACAAGGAGAAAGGGGACAAGATGGGATACCTGGAGACCCTGTTAGTATTACTGTTATCATGACAATGATTTGAGTATTGTATGATTTTATTTCACAGCAGATCATTCAGTTGAATATGTCAAGTAGCTGTTTAGAGATGAACTGTATGATTTATTAAACAGTTTTTCGCTTTTTGCAGGGCGATGTTGGAGCTCCAGGTGAAACAGGCTCTCAGGGTGAATCGGTATGTGGTTGAGGTTATTATAATTGTTGCTTGTACATTAATTTCAAAAGCATTGATACTGTGGATTGAACTTCATTGTACCCCAATCACTCAAGATTGCACAATTATAGCATGGTGATAATTTCAGTTTCAGGATGCTCGTGGGAATTTGATGAGTGAGTTAGAGTTGATTAAGACTACATGCAGGCTTAATGGAAACCTCTTTCTGTGGCCAATTCTGGCCCTTGTTGTGCTAAGACTACTTTTTGGGTTTCCTCAATGTTTAACCACAAACATTTTATATGTACATGTAGATGTGAGTAATTTAAGTGTCTTTCTTTTTTTTTTTTTTTTGGCTCAAGATGACTACACATTCCTGTGAGTTAAATATAGAGCCATTTTGTTTGCCACTGTTGCCATTCAATTTTATCAGATTTACAGTACATGGACAGAAGTTGATCATTTGTTACAAGCTAGGCGTAGAGAATTCAAATCCTTGATACAAGTTCACGCCCTATGATCTGAATTATCTGTGAATGTAAATTGTCACTTCCTTGTGCACCAGTAGGTGCCACATATACCACAATCATTATACAAGTTAACTGCACAATTTGGGCATTTCTTTAACTGATATGGAGATTTATAGAAGCACTGAAAATAAACTTGATGACCTGTTAGCTACACTATAGTATTCATTTTAGTGCAATCTAAAACTGGTAAATAAAAGATCTGGATCTGAAATAATATCTGTCATCTTCAGGGCATCAAAGGAGAAAAAGGCAAACCAGGAGAGAACGGATTAGATGGAACACCTGTGAGTGTTAAGTACTGGGAGATTAATAAATTAATAACATGTGGTAACAGGAAAGGACAACAGACCTTTAGACCTTGCTTTTATTTACTTCTGTTTTTACATGACAGTACAGATGGCTCACATATTTCCTTGATTCCTAAAGCTGTACAAAAGAACATTTAACAGTTTAATCCTCAATTACCACACACTCAGCGACACAGTTCACTTCTTATCTTAAATTCCCCCTCAACACAACGCACCCTCTTACAACTAAATAGTCCACCTCTATGATTTCCCACACACACCCCTTTCCGTCCCACACACACCCACACAAAGCATAATAAAGATTAAAAGCAGAGTCCATTTGTTCACTAAAAAATCTCGACAATTCCTCAAGATACACCTTTTTCCCTAAAACTGACAGAGTTATGGTATATACTCATTAGTTCACCTGTTTCCTAGGAAGGCTTCTTATTTGTTGGTTTTAAAAAGTCTGTAATGATTTCGAATACTAACATAACATTCCTTACATCCAGGGAGAGCGCGGTGAAAGAGGACCTGAAGGTCCCCAGGGTAACTCTGGTGCAGCAGTAAGTTGATGAAAGAGGCTTTCAATTTATATTATCAGTCAGTTGTTATGCAGCCACACTTTGATTGGTACATTTAGTGGGACATCCTTCACCATAAACCATGTGAGAATTTAAAGCTGTCTTTGTGCCAAAATCTCTCCCTATTCATAGCCAAAGCTGTTAGTAAGTTGTGTGGGCAGATGAAAGTTTACATCTTTAGTTTTTTTGAATTAACAATCATTTCAAAGTGACTTGTTTTGCTTGCATCTGAAGCCATTCAATACAATACAAAATTTATTGACATTCCAATAAATGGCTTTTCAATGCTAATTTTCAAAAACTGAAGAATTCACAAATATATGTATAAGAAACGATCATCTTTCAATCAACTTTCAATTTTATCGTTTCATCTGAGACTCATTACAGTAGCAGTGTAAACTGTCATCCTTTGGCCTTAAACTATTTAAGTTTTCCTCTACAAACACACCAAATATAAGAAATATAACTTAGGAAAACAACAATTTTCTTTTTATTAGGGTTCTCCAGGTCGCCCAGGTCCACCAGGCCCCCCTGGAACTAAGGGAGACAGAGTAAGATTTCTGTTTTAAAGAGCTGTTATCATTGGTGAAAAATTAGACATACTTTTGATTAAAATAATGGTTTACAGTTAGGGAGACTTTTTTTTAAATTTCTGTCAAAACGAATTTCAACAAAGGATTTTGGGTATGATTTCTATTTAATCAAAGTTCTACAGTTATGGAGACTGGGTTAGACATCTTGAAAACATATGCTGCAAGATCCTCTGTGGCAGCCCCAACACTATGGAGTGCTTTGCTATGTGACTTTGAAAACAATTCGTCAGTGTCGGTTTTTTTTGTAAAAGCCATTTTTAGTTTCTTTTAGACTGTTTCTTAAGGAGTTTTAAATATATATGTTAGCATTGTATCACTTGAAAAAATCTTGCATTCTGATTGCTTAACAAAGCGTGGAATTGCGAGTTGAAAACGAGGTTAAGTGATATTGTTTCGCATCAACATATACATAACAACTATATTTAAGTAATGCTGTTTTCTTGTTTTTATTCAATAATGCTATTCGAGGAAAGTTCATTACTTGACTCGTGAATTCCACGTTAAATTGCACTTGAAATTTTCGCGTGTATTGTAATGCAAAATTCCCTTCTCAAGTTATGAAATTTCCTATAAAATGAAGTTCAGCAGTTCTTGGGTCAATACCTATTCATTTGAAGTTCTACAGTTTAGGAGACTGGGTTAGATATCTATACTGGGAGAGAGGCCAAGATTTCTTTTTATTTTAGAATTACAATAACTTTGCTGCTTCTTTTATCCACTGGTCAATCCCACTATAATTGCAATGCCTTATTTTTATGCCGAGCTGTAACTATTGCATCACCTAAAGAAAGAAAGAAAGACCGAGTAGTGGCTGCATTGTATTGAAATGATAATAATTGATAATAATTGATAATAAATGATAATAATTGTACTCTAGGGAGACACAGGTCCACAGGGAAGCAGAGGAAACCCAGGAAGAGACGGCAAGAGGGTATGATAAACAATTTCAAACTACATACAAAAACTATACGCTGTTGTGTACTTTTTTAGGCAAGTTTTTTTTTTGTTTGTTTTTAATTTATGGAATTTAGAATTGTTTTATCAGAATTTCAATCTCCTGCTTGATGAAAACGCCGAATAAGTTTGCATCATTTACCCAAGTAGGGAACTCTGCTTGCAGATCAAGTGTTACTTTGTGTTCTTTGTATTCACACTCAGTAGATAATAATATTCAGGTTACTTACAATGTAGCTCTGTTCTGCACGGTTAAGAAAGGTTGAAAGAAGGTTCTGCTCTGGTTATTGTTGTACTGCTTTCAGAAGAAATGGAAATGATTATTCTCAGTATCAATTCTAGTCATCTCGATCCATGCAAATGTGGGATGTATGTTTCAACTTGTAATAAAATGATCATTACTGATGATCACTTGTTGTTATTTTCCAGGGATATGCTGGCACCCCAGGTCCCCCAGGAGCTCCTGGAGAACGAGGAACGAGAGTATGTACCACAACTTTTACCAGTGTAATGCTTTTTAATTGTTTTGATTTCCAACAACATTTTGAAGAATGGTCTATTTAACAATTATTCCACTCGCGCTTGTTGGATATATCTATCATCTCATATCCAACGTGCGCTCGTGGAATAATTGGTAGTTAGTCTCTCTTGCAGTCACTCCTTTGCGATGTCGCTCAATGCTCCCCCAAATGTTGGGTGAAGTATTGCATGAAATCCTAGAGAAGAAGACTGATCGTTTTGCGTGAAGTTTCAGCATCACTTAGAAGGGAAACTACAGAGAGGAATCAAGTTACCTTTGCACAACAAAGATCTTTTCTATAAAAGTTCCTCTTCCGCTCAAAAATTTATCGATGTCTTTTTTAAGGGTTCCCCCGGACTTTTTGGCACACCAGGTGCTGATGGCGAGTCAGGATTAGCTGTAAGTATTTATTTTCTTTTGCTTATTGCACATTTCCATCGCACACACCCTACTTATGGTTCCTACTGTATAACTGTATAAATGCTCTTTATTGAAGGGGCATAATTTGAGTAAGACTCTACGAGATTTCCTCGGGTTGGTCCATCATTTTAATTGTTTATTTATTCATCATTATCTAATTGCGAATTATTTATTTCTGCAGGGCCCTCGTGGAGCCCCAGGATTGCCAGGACCTGGCGGTGAGAATGGAGCTGATGTAAGTTGGAAGATCGTGCACTTGTTTGTCATTCTTATTTTCATCGTGAATCTCGGGTGTAGGATGCAAAGGGACATTACTCACCTCCCACCACTGCGACTTACCATCTGAGAAATTGTTTTTAAAAATTTGCAAAAGCTTCCCAATTGACGCGAGACCTAGAGAAGAGTTTCAGTATCCTAATCTCTTCCCCCCCCCCCTCCACACCTTCATAGTCATGGGTAAAGTTAATTTAATTTATTTGTTTACTTATCTTAATTACATTTCTCATTTTCATAGGGTCCAACAGGACCTCCTGGACCCCCTGGGCCAATGGGTGAGCAAGGTGAACAGGTTGGTAGAAAATAATTTCCTTTTTTTCATACTCTGTACTCTCCTAAAATCGTGGAGTCTCTTGATCTGAAATGGGAAGGTGGCATGACTTGCTGTGACCAGCTATGAACATGAAATTTATTGAATCTAATTTTGTCGTCACTATTTATAGTTGATGCAATTTTCATGAATTTGAAGAATTGGATTTTTTTAATGAGTTACTTTACTTATGTAGGGAGCCCCTGGAGATATGGGCGAGCGTGGACCTGATGGTACCGTTGGGCCCATTGTAAGTCTGCATCTTGTTTTGAATTTTAAAGAATAAAGAAGGGAGTACCCTCACCTCCAAGCAGTCGATGAGAGAGACTAATTTAAAATCAACTGTCAAGTTAAATTTCGTATTATTTTTCAGTATATTGACGGAAAGGAAACCATTGTTTTTGGTTTCTTTATGGTATATACTGAAACAGTCATTCACCACTGTGTTGGTAAAAGTGATGGATATTTAGCTATATTTACCCCTATTCACCTCCAGTTTGGTGAATAATTATTAACTATTCTGTGCATTGTGTCATATCCTGTGAAGACAGTGGCCCAAAATATGGTGTAACCCAAAAAAGTATACCGTCCCAAAAGTGACTGACGTACAACTTCTGTTTAGAATATCGTTACATCAACAAGCAGGCGAGTGACAAGAGTAGAAAAATATGTCAGCTGGAGATGAAGAAATGGTACAAAATCTAAAATACCTAATTACGTAATTCACAAGGTAAAAGTGGCTATCAGATCATTTTGACAACAGCTAATGTTGCCTTATCTTGGTGTAGGGAGACCCTGGAGGACCTGGACCGGCAGGAACTGCTGGTAGAATCGGAAGGGATGTAAGTGTACATGTATGCGTAAAAAGAAAACGAACTGACACGACGCTCATGTTAAGCGCCCGCGCGCGCGACAATCACCCACACGAAGCATGCACGATCATCCTGTGTGAGAGTGTTAAGATGGAGAGTCACATTTTAAGGAATTTTTGTTCGTAAGTTGATTATACTGTGATGCCTTTGTGATGGTGATTTTTTAAACAGTTATTTTTTGAATATTTTTTTTGTAACCGATGGTGAACATTTTGTTCAATACTTCCTGAGGCTCTTTGCATTGTACATTTCTTCAGTAGCCAAGTTGTGTACCAAGAGATGTTTAGATCCTTCCTGCATAGGTAGAATCTTTTGCTTTACATGTTTTTTTATTTGTCATGAATAGGGTCCCATTGGACCACCCGGAGAAAGTGGAGCTCCAGGACCTATAGGACTTCTCGTAAGTAATGCATTAGTTATTAAGAAGGGGCATGTTTAATCTGCCTTAGCCCTTTTTCCCCACCCCCTACC